TTCTGCTATTTACTTCCAGCAAAATGGTTTACTGAAAAAAATTCGGTAAAATTGCATTTACTGAAATATCAGCAAACAGATTATTTATTACTAAACGCCCAGTAAATCAGAATTATTTATGGAAATCAGTCAAAATGAACTGTCAATGGCCTTGCAATATTTTCGGATTATTTTCATGGTCAAGACAGTTTCTGCTGTTAGAAAATGTTTTCTCATTGCTAATTTCTGCGGTATGAAATGGAAATACTTGGGTGACGAAACATTATCCCCAGTAAATCTTGAGTAAATATTAAAAACGTCGTAAACAATTACTTGAAGGGTTAATTTATCGCAACTACTAGCTCGCCCACGCAAACCACCAGGACAAAGGTTTCCCAACCGCATTTCGACTAACGTGATCGTCCACACATTTACTTTTATTCATTATGAAGCACCCTAATGTGCAGTGCTCCAATCGTGTGTGCAGCTCTAAAGACATATATTGCGATTTTTTTACCATTTTTGTGTAAATTTTCTAATTTGAAGATATTTACGTGAAAATACTGTTTCACTCGTGTACTTTGAATGTTTATAAAAATGTTGCACCTACGGATTATTCCTAAATAAGTTGCATCGTCTATAGCCCGCTTGAAGAAAATAACGGACACGTTTTTATACTAGATCCTTTTTATTGATTAATGACGATGAAGAAGTAAGGTATATTGGAAAAGTTAGCTTTGCAAACAAAGAAGAATCATATAATTAATATTTTTATTGCAAGACGGTAGGAGAAACTGTAAAAATGCTAATCTCCGTTAATATATGAAGCTACTATTCACATTTGAATGCGAGAAATATTGTAGCATTTTTTTCAATGGACCAAACCCCAATGCCTTGGGTGAGAAAACCACTCTCTGGAAATTTAATATGAGCTGGCGCTTTTGTAATGTTTGTATGGGGATTTTGGTTGTAATAAATGGAGAAATAACATTATTTCACCCTTTCGTGCATAGAACTGGTTCAGAAAACTCGATTAAACTAAGTATTTCAGCACATTTAGCCTAAACTAAACGGATCAACTTTGCTAAAGACAGCATCACAATTCAAGTTAGTATTATGGAGATATTCATTCTTGAATTTATATGTGCATTTTGTTCGTATATTGCAACAAAATACAGGCAGCTTATGCAACGTATAACCTAGATTACCACTAAAAATAAAAGTTCACATTTTCCACAGGCCAACACAAAAACTCGTGTCTTTAGGTGAGATAACCTCTCTGTATGTTCCAGGCGCTTTTGTCGTAACACGGGCTGGGGCTTTTGGTTTAATGTTCATAAAGTAGATTTGGATGAAATGTTTATATACAAAATGCTCATATGCATTCAAGAGCGAATATCTCAATAAAACTAACTGGATTAATCATGCAATCTTCAGCAAGTTTGTTACTCATTGTTTGAACTTCTTCTTCTTCTTCCTCGCATTTCAAGTTTATTTCGTATGGCATATTAGCTTATTGCGTGCTCTCAACTTAGTGTTCTAGATGCAGTTCCACAGTTATTAACTGAGAGCTTTCGATGCCTGTACCATTTTTGCATTAGTATTATTGTGTGGCAAGTACAATCATACTCTATGCCCAGCGAGGGGGCGACACATCTAAATCTCAAGTTTAGATGGTCAACAAATCTCACACTAGCGAATCAATCTTCGAACAATCTTCTTTCATTTGTCGCATCTACTTGCATCGCTCATCAATTTTTTGCAGGAAATCTTCAGAATCATCATCAATCTTCTTTCTATCTACTCAGCGTGCGCGCAGCTAGCCACGGCAAAACACAATCTTTTTTGCATCGTAGATAGAGTCGTCCCCCTCGATGCCCAGGGAAGTCGAGAAATTTTCCAACCCGAAAAGTTGCTAGACCGGACCGGGAATCGAACCCAGCCACCTCCAGCATGGTCTTGCTTTATAGCTGTGCCGACTGAGTTAAGGGAGGTCCCTTAGGTTGTTTGAACTACAAGTTTTGAAAATCGAACTCAAGGAATCTTTGTTTGTGATCGAAAAAGTGTAGGAGTGTTGTCATGTATTTTATCCAAATTCCTACGCTACTACGATAATCACGTTACTCAAGGTAATGTTTACAGCTTTCTGTACGTAGCTTGATATCTTGATTGCATTGGCAGTGTTGCTATAAATTACCAAAGCATAGGTTGCCATGACAGTTTGTTTTGAATCCGCTTCTCTTTTATACTAGACCCTCTCTAATGAATACCTACACTGAAAAAGTTTTCATATAGATTCCATTGAGAATGCACATGATATTTTTCTAACAACAAAATTAATGATTTTTATCTGAAATGCACATAACATTCATATGATCACATGAATTCTATGTGATAAATCACATACATTTCATTGGACACATAAGGTTCACATGAAAGTTATGTGTAATTCTAATGAATATTTTACATTGGAAATATGTTTTATTTTTTTAATGTAAAAAAATGAAGCGCTCTACGCTTTGTCTCAATAACGTTTATGTCAGAATTGGGCTATGTACCTACCACAGTAACTTACAGTTGCTGTATGGATAAGTGTTCCCGGTTTTACTTTCCCTTTGCAGAAAAAGTTACAGAATCTGCTGTCAGGGAAGCAAACTATTGGTTAACATACGAATGGAGTGAATGCAAGTTTTTTTTATGTTCTAATCATTAGTTTTAAGCTATCACAATGTGGTGTAATACGGTTTTAATGTAAATGTAACTGTACTAATTAACAAAAAATAAATAAATTTAGGATTAGTTAATCAAAATTTGTGCATGAGGAAGCAAGTTTGAAACCTGGTCCACCTGGGAGGATCTTTTCTTAACTTAAGGTGAAAATAAATCTTTGTACGGGACTTATAAACTTATTTTTAGCTTCCATGCAATTTATAATGGGATTGAACTTGCATTAAGCATATAAAATGGAACGGGCGATAAAAAATCCAAATTAACAATTATGTATGTGCTCAAATAATGTTTTAGTTGGAAAGTAGTAAAGGTTTAGAAACACTGAAATTACGAACATTACTGTACTGATCTGGCAAGCCACAACCAGTATTATCCATGGATTAAATCCCGATCGATTTCGTAGATATACTGTTGTCGGCATTGGAGTGGTTCACTCCGACACTGAACAAACATTTGACAGAGGTTCTATGTAAGGCCGGTGTTTACTTTTGACACCGGTTCTAATCTCCAAAGAAGTTTGTAAATATGAAACATGAGATAGAGACAAAGTAGTAGAAATGAAAATAGTTTTTGTACTCCAAATATATTAATAATAAATTCAGATGATTTTTTGCCTTTGACGTATTCCAGAGACATAATTAAAATAGACATTTCTTATGTTACCATTAAAAATACAAACTTTTTAAAAAATATCACAACAAATTATCGCAACGTTACGTCTTCAGCAAAGTTATTTATTTTATTAAATTTTTTACAACACACCAGAGTCTAAAAATATTCAAAGAATAAATCTTGCTCAAAAAACTGTTTGCCGTTCCTTAGAAAACTTCTTGGATCTTTGCAGAGAGCTAGAGAGTTGACGTCCTCGGCAGTTTTTTATGATTTGGTATATTTTATAACTTTGCTGAACTGTCAATTCATTTCCGGGAAACAAAATAAAAAGTTTAATTTTTAACTATCTTTTTAGGAGGATTAATAAAAAAAACTACTTACTTCGAAAGATGTCATTTTTCATATTTCTAACTCCTCCAAAGATAGGTCAGTATGGATGTTTAATGTTCGAGTAATTACAAAAGTTCGTGTTTTCAGTTGCTGTATTTCAGTTGGAACGCGATGAAGATCGACATCTAGTGCTAATATGTGCACAATAATAAGGAATCTGCAGAAAAATAACATTGCATAAGAAATGTAAAACTGAGCATCAATGGTAATGGAGTTAGTATAGGTCTTATAATATGATTTAGTTTTGATTGGTGTTTGGAGCAAGAGTTTTTACCATATGTTAAATTAACATAAAGATGCTTTGATTAATACATTTTGTTATGTTATTTGTTGAAAATAAGATATATTTTTCCTCCTATCGAAGTTAGAGATCTACCAAACACAGATACATATATATATTATAAACAAATAAAATAAACTCTGTTCTGATTAACCAATGCTTTAATTAAACTTGGATATAGCTATAGGTTATGTTAGCTATGTTGCAATACTAGAAACAGAAGAAAAGGATAATTTTGTGTTACTTACTGATTTCAGTATAAATGCTCAACGTATTTGCCATCTTGGAACACAGCTACCGACGAAATCTGAAGCAAATTATTTTGTCCAAAAACGCCATAACATTTTAGCTAACATCCGCTAAGATATAAGCCCAACATAATGCAGAGTTACCATTATAAAGTTACCAGACTATGACTAGTTATTATATCACCTCTCACACAGTGTCCTCTTCCTTTACCCATTGTTTGGATTGTTTTGTTTTGTTTAATATAGTTTCAATGCCATCTTTTCTGGAGGAAGCAAACTACAAAAGGAATGTTGAATAAGAAATAAACTATAAATACACCGATACACAGCTACATACATACAAATACACATTATTCACTATTGCGATATGTAGATACGTCGTAAAAAGATGAAGAAAATATACCAAAACTAATGATTGTTTATTAATCAATTGATTAAAAAAATGCAACTAAAGATGTGAAGTCAGAAATTATAATCAAAATTATAAAAGCAAATATTGTTATTTTAAAACAAAATATATTTTTCAAAAAGAACATAGAAATATAATTTATTAAGATTCTGATAATAATAACAGCGATACTGTTTTAATTTAAAAGAAATAAAATGTGATAACCGTTAAAAAAAGAGATCCATATTTAATTAAGAAAATCAAACCTTATGACATCATTTAGAATCATTGTCCTAAATATAAAATATTCGTATTTTTAAACGATTTCAACACCTTCAAAACTTATACTAACACTTATTTTTGTTTATTTCAGTTGATCGTGACGAGGCTGCTGAATCCTCTTATGACGGTGACTCGTTGGTTACTGCAATGTACAATGTGAATAGCCGAGATGATACATCGATATCACTTGTGATAGGATGCCCTGATGCCGCTGGTTTCTTCCATTGTCCGAATGGTACCTGTGATCGAAAGTGAGTACATTTCCACGTCCAAGTTTCGTAACACAGCCAGTATATATTAATTGTTTTAATGTTTTTTCTTCTGCCTTTATTTTTTTCAGATACAAAATAAAATATTCTTTGATTCGCCACCTACGCAATGAGTGCATTGATAATCGACGTTTTCCGTGTCCATTTTGTAAAAAAAAGTTTTCATATTCTTTCATATTGAATAGGCACATCCTGAAGGTACATAAGACCTTGCATTGTTAGTATAAAAGTGAATCTGTGAAGACATCGTGTCCCTTTACATTCCAAATAGTTTGCTTCCCTACCATTGATCCAAATATTCAGATATTTTGTTTAGCAGCTACCCTAGATTGACAAAGCCAAATTTATAGGTTCTATCTGTCTACCTTTAGATTTGTGTAAGAAATAAATGAATATATGGATACTACATTCATATAGAAGATCATCGAATATGAATCGAGTGTTTTATTGTTATGTGTATGTTGATGGTGGTGGAGTAGAGTAAACAAGGGTTATATATTTTCTCGTTAATTTAAGTCATAATTTGCGTTAGTAAGTAGCGTTCAGTTCAATCAACCCCAATGGTATGGTCTTATATTATTATAAGTATTGCTAGAATAATTTGATTATTTCTTTTATTATAGATTTACAAGCTAAACTAATCGTATCGAACTGAATTTATTTCTCCTCTTCTATTTACTTCTACTTGCTCTTAATTGAAAGGTAATTATTATATAATATTTATTGCGTTGTTACTTGTTTTCATCCTATTTATTCAGTATTTTCTTCTTTTTTTCTACCTATTTTTTATTTGTTTGATCGTCTTAATTGATCAATTTATATGTACCTTTTCTTTGATGAGGAGCTTTTTGTCCTACAAAGATACATAGTTCAATTGATTAATACAACTTTTTTTTTCATTTTCTCTACGCATACTTGCCATCGTTTATTTTTAGATTATATCGAAATGCTGGAACCCAAGGTGGTAATAATGGATGATGGGTTAACTCGCTACGTGTGTCCTCAATGTGGGGTCAAGTACAAAAAAGTGAGCGCACTACGGGGTCATATGAAAGAGTGCGGGAAGGGCGCTCAGTGTCCATTATGTCCGAAGATTGTGACCCAGCGTCGAAACTTACCTAAACACATGGAGCGGCATCGGCGCGATGGACTAATGGAATTTCACAATTTCATTGATACCTTTCCAGCAATCAATTTGATGAATTCGTCATTCTGAACGATCGACATATGCATTTCTTTTTCGTGCGGGTATGTGCGATTCAGTGATTTTAAAGTGTTTTCTCGATGGACTTTTTTAAAATTGTAACTAAACTGAATTTTTCGCTGGTTTTTTACTTTGCGCACTTGGATATTTTGTATTATTGCTCTCCAATTTAAGTACAACAATATTGATTTGGTTTTCTTAAATACTAACTTAACTATCATTGCTGAGAAATTAGCAAAAATATCCAAGTACACAAAATTATGAGCCTGCGTAGAAATTGGTGTGGTCACAATGTCTACATCGCTTTCTGATGAGTTAAAATCGTACGTGATTCGTAATATGCATATAAGAAATGTGCCCTGTGCGGAGGAAAAAGCAGCCAAATGAAAAAAAAAGTATTAGAAAACGTGATATTTTGTATGATACCTAGAGATAAGAATTGGAACTTTTTATAGCATTTTTTTTTCCTTAAATCAGTAGCAATATAAAACAAAAAAGTTTGGAGACATCATAATCCTAAAACATGTTTTTCAGTTGATCTACCTCTATCTAAAAGTAACTATCGATGCAAAATTTTAAATTTACGGATTTGGCAAATGTAAGTTTATGCAAAAGAAACAAATGAGAAGTACACCTGATGTACATTATGCTGTAGGCGGTGGGTCGACGTTTTACTTTCAGGATGAAATTTATCTTGATTCCTCTAGATATCTGTAATGTATTATTTTGCTTACCACACAATATACAAGTTCATGTTATGATAGAAGCTCTCGATACAATAAAACACTGTCCATAATTAGACATAGTTCCATACGAGGTTTCATATATGCTGCTTGCACGGTACGCCCCAGCCGGAGCTTTAACCCTTTACTTCCCAGAAGGTTTTTGATTATTTTGAGATGCAAACATACATTTTTTGAAAAATGTGCTAGGAACAAAAGATGTTCCATACAGCCTAAAATTATCGAACCAAAGTTTTTTTTCGGTTCAAAATCCATAGTATGTTAATTGTTGTTCAATGCTACTCAGTTTAATCTTCAAGAATACATATGGACGAAAATAATGAGCGTATGGAGATGATTCAATAAGTACTGACTATTTAATGGTAGATAGACAAACATGAGATGAACCGATAAGTTGTGGATCATCTATGGGACGGAGAGGGTTAAGAGCGGCACACAATGTATCCGAATTTGCTACGTTGCGGTAAATCTAACAGCAGACAATACTATTCAGCTGTCAATTTGTTGCAATTCTCATTTACGAAGCTTCTGCAGGGTATACTGGACACACTTGATCCCTGGGGACACGTGATCCTCCCTTGGTTTCTCGAGATTCTGAGCAGATTTATTTCAGGTAAGTTTCCACAAAGTTTGGTCTAGACAATGTTATTGTGACATTAGCGTCAGCTTGTGGAACGAATATATTTGTGATATCAGTTCGTATGTTTTCGCTCCCTTAGACTTTTATAAGCCAGCATGAACATTCTTAATGCATTTTTGGATTTCCAAAACAAAATCCACTCAGAAGTACACATGAAATTTATGAATCGAATGAATAGTATGTGTGATTACACATGAATTTTATGTGTACCCATAAGAACTATGTGACCAACATATATATGTCATATGTGGGACACATAAAAATTAGCATTGAGTTTTATTAGTGTAGTAATATTTAAATTTAACGTTAAATGCCTGTATGGCGATTGAGGAGCAATAGTTACGTCTGTTTATCTGTGATAAATCTCTGTTTGTGGAGACCTGATTACCCAGAATTTTCATACATTCGACCTTAGGATGCGTGTAAACATTAATATTCATCATATCCGGATGCATTGTGCGTGGCTCTTAATTCTATACTACCTCTATGGAGTTACATCTATGGTATTATCACCGGTTGGAAACTAACGAATTTAAATTGGCTCACTATTACCACAAACGAAGTGACAGACGACTAACTGGCGAAGAAATCCATTTAAATAATGTGGTTCACTGTAATAGAATTTTCTTGGAAGCTTATGCCATCATCCACCAGATGGGTTAGTTTTTTTTGTTTTGATTTGAACAAAGTTGATTTTGTGTACAATGATTCTTTGACAGTGTGCAAAGAGTGCGTATCATTTTGTCATTTTTTTTATGCATTTCAGTTTTGAGTAGAGTGAAAGAGATAGAACCAAAACATTCTAGTACATTTGGTGAAAATGCTAGTTCAATCTAGTAGTAGCAACAATCAATACGAAACTAACGATTTTAAATTGGCTCACTACTTGACTAGCCTATTGGTCCCAAGCAAACGATTAACGTATCCCATTCTAGTCGAAATTCTAGTACTACGCAACGTTTGTTTTGATTAGCTATGAAAGTTTGACAGATAAAATGAGGGGTTATCGGTTTTTATCGGTTTTTGCAGGTTATAGTAATATCTCAGGCAAAAGTATCTTGTGGCATGTCAAATCATGTCAAATAGGTAGAATCAAGTGAATGAAGATGATTTCAGATGATTTTGGCCAGTTTGGCATCGGTTCCGGAACGCGGATCTGTGAATTCCGGCGAACGGTTTGTTGGAATATAATTTCATTGAGGTTATGATATCATATTATCCCAAAATGACAAGCTATGATCACTGAAATGAGGTTGTAGCACAAACGAAGTGACAGACGACTAACTGGCGAAGAAATGAATTAAAATAATGTGGTTCGCTGTAATAGAATTTTCTTAGAAGCTTGTGCCATCATCCACCAGATGGGATAGTATTTTTGTTTTGGTTTTGCACAAAGTTGATTTTGTGTACAATGATTCTTTGACAGTGTGCAAAGAGTGCGTATCATTTTGTCATTTTTTTATGCATTTCAGTTTTGAGTAGAGTGAAAGAGATAGAACCAAAACATTATAATACATTTGGTGAAAATGCTAGTACAATCCAGTAGTAGTGTTGCCATGTGGTACAATCTAATAGTAGTGGTGTTGCCATGTGGTACACTGAAAAATTGCAATAGCAGGTTAGTCACCAAAGTTTTCGAGCCGCTCCGTCTGTCACTTCGTTTGTGGTTGTAGCATAGAGGTAACTCTAAGACCACTGGGTCCCGAAGAAAATCATTATTATTTTTGGCTCACTCAGTACCAGAACAACGGTCCCAAGCAGTCCCGAGCTATTTCACTCACCCCTGCGTGTTCTGGATGAATCCACACACCCCTGATGTTATCTGTCAAACTTTCATAGCGAATCAAAACAAACATAGTGTAGTAATAGAATTTCAACTAGAATAGGGTACGTTAATCGTTTGCTTGGGACCAATAGGCTACTAAAGTGGTGAGCCAATTTAAAATCGTTAGTTTCGTATTGATTGTTGGTAATACGCAATGTTTGTTTTGATTCGCTATGAAAGTTTGACAGATAAAATGAAGGGTTATTGGTTTTTCCTATGTTTCGAGGGGTTAATCGATTAGCTTGGGACCGAAGAGAGTACCAGAGCTGAGCCAAAAAGTTGAGCACGAATCTTCGGGACCTTCTGGTCTTAGAGTTACCTCTATGCTATTGGTCCAAAGCAAACGATTAACGTACCCTATTCTAGTCGAAATTCTAGTACTACGCAATGTTTGTTTTGATTCGCTATGAAAGTTTGACAGATAAAATGAGGGGCTAGTGGATTTTCGTATGTTTCGAGGGGTGAATCGATTAGCTTGGGACCGAAGATAGTACCGCCGCATTTTTTCAGGATGCATGACGGTATGCCATCTGGACTGGACACAGAGTATTTCAATTTGTTTATTGCGGAGTCCACCTGATTCGACGTGATCGCAAAGCTTCTCAGAGAACAGACCCCACTAGGTGTATCTCTACAAGCTTCTGTGATTTGACGTGCAGACGACGTAGAATCATTAAATGCCCTTCTAAAGTGAGTGGTAAACAAATTGCACTTTTCCAAAGCGGAGGTGGCGACTTCATCGCCCAGAAACATCTCAACGGGTAACCCATTCTCCTTCCGTTTAGAGTCGATAAATTTCCAAAAATGTCGTGGATGTCTGCGTAGATTTTCCTGAGTTCGTTTGCAGTAGCGTTTGTACAGATAACGGTTATACGTGCGATAATTGTTACTAGCACGTGCGAAATGTTGCTTGGAAAAAGGACGGACAACGAGACTGGCAGTAGGTTCGGAGTGCTTTGGATCTTAGACGTTTGAGTCGTCGTAAATGTATATTTCCCCAAGGTGGTTTCGAAGATGGCCTAC